GCGGCGGCCTGTGCCAAGGCCTCAGCCCCGTGTCCGGCTCTGCGGGGGTTTTGCTGTTAAAGGGCTGTTTTGCTATTAAAAATGCTTCTGAAAATGCCAAACCCGTCTGAGATGTGCTTGGTCCCTGCCATGTGCTTGCGCTTGCGGCTGGAGTGGGAAACTTCATGGAGTGTGTTTATCTCCTGTGTCGTCCTTTGCAGAGAATCGGGCAGGCGAATCCTTCTGACCCGTTTTGGGCCTTGTACCTTCTCAGAATTTGATCTTCCAGTTTTAAAGAGATGCTGAATTTAATTGTTCTGTGCGGCCTTAAAGAGAAACAAATCCAAACCATAGTTCGGCTGGAAATGAATCACCAAGCTGAAAGAGGAAGGTGCGGATTCCTTGAGAAACGTAAGAGGAAATCTCTTCATCTGTTTTTCAGAGAAGAATGAAAAGACACGTGAACTGTTCTCCTCAACAGTTGCAGAAGAGCCTGAGCCTGTTCCCTGTGTTCTGCAAGGAGATGACATCCAGTCACTTGCAATTAAGGTGGAGGACCTGGAGAAAGTATGTATTTTTACTGACAGAAACAGCTACTTTGACCGACAATCTCCTTTTATGTTATGTGTTTGACAGAGAGCACTGTCGATTTAATTAAAGCAAAACCCACTCTTGGGAGTTCAGTTCTCATTCCATTTTGCCTGTCTTGCTTTTTATGAATTGTCAAATCATCAGATTGAGTTGCTAAAAGTAAAGGATTATTGGTCCTTACACAATTTTTTTGAAATGGAAGGATAAGTTACCTGCTTCTTCAAAATTACGTTTTCAACTTTTTATCCTAAAAAGTTATTAGTTGCTCTAAGTTGTTTAGTGAATACCATGGAGTCTCTTCCAAAACTTGGGTCAAACTGCTTGAGTAAAAGCATTTGACAGCAACCGACACAGCAGAAAACTATTGGGAAAGTGATTTAAAACTCTTTTCCCTGCCCCAGTTATAAAGCAGAGTCCAGAAGAGTAAGAAGGTGACTAAGCTGGTATCTCCACAGTTGTGTAATGAGCCTCTTAGGGGAGGAGCAGCCTGTACTGATATGACTCCTCTGCGTATCCTAGAAAGATCAGAAGGAAAGAAGGTGAGTCAGTATGTACCTAATTGCATCGTAACTGTTTATTTTCCGAAGCTTCATGCCCCACGCCTTCCCTGTGGTGCTGAGAGGATTCCAGTTAGGAGGAAATACCTCGTTCGAAAATATCGACCCAAGAAGGTGACGCATCTCCTTGTAGCATGTCCTGCTCCCCCAAAGGCACACAGGGAACCACCGACTTTTTCTGGTAGGGTTAAGCTTCACACCTTGTCTTTGGGTTTTGGTTTTGCTAAGCCTGGCTTTAGCGACCACCTGGCTCTGGGGTTGTTTTGTCTGTCTGTGTGTGTGTTGTAGGACCGGGACTCTTTGGTGATGACTGTGAAGAGATTCTCCCCCATCACATTTTGGGAAGTCTCCAGGAGTTCAGGATGGAAGCGTTGGCCAGAGGAAACACTCAGGTTGGTTTGTGAAGTTAAGAAAATGGTGCTGTGCGGCTCTTTTCTAGAAGTGGAGTGTGGTGCCTGCAGCACCTTTCGGTGCTTTTCAGCACCTATCAGGACCAGGTCAGGCCTGAGGTGGGGTTTTCCCAGCCTCATCACACTCTGCGGGGAGGGCTTGCCTTTAGAGAAACTGCACCAGCAGGTTTGAATCCCGTGTGCAGGACGAGGTCACGGAAGGAAGAATTACAGAGGCTTCCTCTTCCATATGTGCTTCTGCCAATGGCGTCAGCAAGGGAAGAGCTGGCGTTGCAGCAATGCCATTGCTCAAATCTAATTACTCAGAAAAATACTTACTTAGTTTCTGAGTGTGTTCCTAGTGCCTTTTTTTTGTTCCTTTCAGAACAATAAGGTAAAAGTACTGTCAATTTGAAGCATTGTTTTTTCCCTCCCCTCTCCCACTGTTCTTTTGGTGGCTGCATGTGCACGGAGAGGTTAGTTTCACATTTCCTTTCTCTTCAGGTAGCAGATTTTATTGAACTTTCTCATCCAGATGTTACTGCAGCGGCTTTAAAAGAGGAACGTGGAGGAGAGAAGAAGAAGAAAGTTAATCAGCCCCCACTAGCAGAGCACAAAGCTCTTCAGAACTGGTACCGCAATATGGCCATCAGGAAAAAGCAGGAGAAATATCTAGGAGGTGGGAAAAGCTGAGGCCTTGCTCTATAAATTTCTCTGTGCAGGTGGGGGAGTTTGATGGCACCTGCTGACCAGGCTTGATCCTGCTGCCATTGCAGTCTCCTTCCATGCCCTGAGAGCTCCCCACGCTGCTGGTGCTGGTGGCCGTGGATGCCGTGGGGAAGTGAGCTGGTGGTTCTGGCTGGGGGAAAGACAGTGCTTTTGGTGGGGGACAGCGTAAGGGGGTCACACGTGAACAACAGTAATGGTGAAGGGTGTGCCCGGAAGTGCAGCCCTGATGATTTGATGTTTCTTCTTTATAGAAGTTCTTCGGAGGCCGGAGAATGAATTGCTGATGAATATCTCAGAGGATTACAGGCAAATCCAGGAGGAACGTGACCTCATTGACCGGAGTATCCCTGCTCTGCTTCCTGGAAAGGTGAGAGCCCTGCTTCCTCTGCATCCTGATTGCTCTGTCCTTGTGAAAGAGCTAAAGCTCTTTCTGGGGTTATGAGTAACACCTCTGAAGACCTGTCATTAGATATTTATCAAAGCCACTTTGCGTCCTTCAGCCTAGTGTGCGAGCAGAGCTTTCAGTGACTTTAAAAACAAAAACATGCACCGTGCTGTCCGTGCTAATCAGAGGAAAATGATCATGTACTTTGGCTCCTCGCTTACCAACTGCTGTACATGGGCAGTGGCCATTTCTGGGTTATCACTAAAGGCTCTTGTGCACTGGGAAGCAAAATGGGGAGGTGCTGCAATTGCTGTTCCAGGACAGAAAGATCTGATAGCCACAGGCTTGAATTGTAGTGACTGCCATGAAGAAAGAGGTATGGGTATGTCAGGAGGGTATAGGAGTGGCATATGTTAAAATTATTTTTTTACATTTGTAGCACTATCAGAGAATTTGCATTTGTGTGGGGCATTATTTTAATATCGTCCAACCTTCGTGTAAGCGGTAGATAGAAGGAAGTTCTTCTTTTGTCTTTGTCAGCAGCCTAATAGAAATTTTGTCTTGCTCTGCAGAAGGTGATAATTTACAGACTTTTAAAATGCTCATATAAGCAGAGTTAGACCCCTTCTTCCTTTTAGCTTCTAGTCCCTGTAAAATTAGCAGGCAGCCATACGCCTCCGAAAGCATCAGTGGGAGCCTTATTTTCTGCCCTAGGGCTACCGAAGAGGAAGCGAGTTCTGGAGCCAGCCCGAGCGTATTGGAGATGAACTCACCGGCCTGACGATGACGCTGACTCAGAGAGAACGTGGCTACCCAGAGCCAGTCACTCATGTGGGCAAACCCCGCACTATCCAGACGGAAACGGGTAAGGGAGCATCGCAGAGAGGTCATTCCACAGAAATGGAGTGACAAGTGTGGGGGGAGCAGCAGAAAGAAATAGTGACTCCTGCGAGCACAGAGACTCGTGTTGTAGTTGTCCCTTCTGACAGCACAAGCTGCTTCTCAGTCATCTGTTGGACCTCCTCTTCAAAACACCGTGAGACCAAAGTTTGGCAGAGAGTGAAATTATTAGGCTTGTGGGTGTGTAGACAGCGAGTTCTTGTGTGGGCATTTCCGCAGGTCTGAAGCCTCCAAAGAGGACCCCATTCCATCTAACCTGGGATAAGAGTCTTTTCCTGAAACATCGGCGGCAGGAGCTCAAATCTGTCCTAGAGGAGCTGGATTTTTATAAGCCGGTAAGACCAGAGGAGTGAGGGCATTCTTTGCGTCTCCTGTCTCATGTCAGATGCTGTAGAGTAATGTGGGATTGCCAAGAACTGGAGCTGGAAAAGCGTTAGGAATCCAAAACGTAGCCCCCCCAGTGCTTATCTTGGAAGTTCTCACATTTCCAAAGGGCCACCAAGCCCATGAAGTTGTCTGGCCTCCCTAAGTGTCGCATGGAGTGGTCTGCGAGCCTCAGAGTAGGACTCTGAACCAGCAGCATGCAGCTGCCAAGACCTAGGCAGTGAAAAACCTGCCAAATTCTGGTGTAGGACTTCGATTTAATACCTCAGGGCAGAGGGAAGACACATTTACCCATGTCAAAGACAAGCATCAGAAATTATATCCTGAAGGCAGATAAGCCCTCCCATTAAAAACTGAACAAACCTCACCATTTTCCTTTCTGAAACCTGGCTCTGGGGATGAGAATCTGTGTGAAGGAGACTTTCCATCCATGCATTATTTGTAGCAGGGAACGCAGTCATCTGGGCTTCTTTGGAGACCTAAAATTGGTTCCTTCTTGCATCTCTTGAACATTTGTTGGATACCTCTAAAAACCTTATAGGAGCGAAGTATCTCAGCTTCACTTTGCTTGGCTCAGTGGGTGCATTTGTTTGGTATTTTAATTTCCTTTCTACACAAAAAGAAAAACTGTGAGTTGGTGGTGTTTCTCTGTGTCCAGGATCTGGATGGCCTGGAGGTGATTGGCAAAGGGCAGCCTTTCACATCTGTCTCAGCGGAGTCTTTTCCGTGCTCCACCACTTCTGAAGAGTGTGCGACCTTGTAAGTTTTGCTTCGTGGCAGAAATAAGAATTTTTGGGTATGCACCACTAGTCTGTAAGAGTATCCGTAGCTGTTCTTAGAATGGAGAGAAGTCTCCAGTGGGGCACGATAGAAATATTATAATATTATAATCACCAGATTTGGGAATCAAGCAGTTCCTTTGTACCCTGGGGCCTTGTGCCTTAGGAACAAGAATCAAAACTTCTATTAGGCAGGGTGGGGATTCTGCTCTAAATTACCTCCATCATTAATTTGCCTTTTTTCCCCCTCTCCCATCCATCTGTAATGGGCACAACCTGAGGGCCTCTTCTCCTTATTCAGGCCTGTACCCTCAGTCTGCCTCAGGAACTATCATTCTTTAATACTGTAGCTGTTCTGTCCTCCTTGACAATGACAAGTAGTTAGCTGGAGTTTGGCACATCTGCGGGACTCTGTCCTTAAAGAGATGTAGGAAAGCGGGATTATTTCATATAGTGCCTTGTGATTTGCAAGGTTCTCCTCTCCCTGAAAGTGAATGTCACTCCATGAAAACCCCGGCGCTTGTTTTCTTTAGCAGCGACTCCTTAAGTGACCGCCTTGATGTGGTTTCAGAAGAAATACTGGGTCCGTCTTTAGATTTCTGTGGCCAGCCTGCTCGTTGGATCAACTGCATCGCTTCTTGCAGGGTAATTGTGCACTTCTTATTGTTTAGTCAAGCTAAGCCTGCTGGAGTTCCCAAGTCACAGCTGTACAATGAGTGTCACTCCCAGGCCGGAGAATGGGGGATTTATTCTGAGCGTAACAGAGTACCCCTATGTTTGCTCTGGAGATATCTGGAAACAGAAGGGGTTGCTCTGTGGTGTGAAGCTCAGATTCCCAGGCTCGCTCTGTATACTGGCTACTTCATGTGGCTTACACGTTTTCCT